AAGTTTTATTCTAGTGCTCAAAATGAAAGAGCATGTAGATAAAAGGTCTATCCAACACTGGATATTAGTCCCTCTATTGCAAGTGATTGGCCGGCAATTCCTGTCTCTGGAAGACGAGAGATTCTTGTCTGAAAATAAATAACAGTAGACACATATTTTTTTTCATAACCCAAATTATTATTTATGTTGAATGATTAATTATATGATACTACCTATCATATTGTGATCGAGTTAATGCTCGCACAAAAGGTTATTTTACAGCAAAGTGAGCAATTAACAAATATTTAGTTCTTGTCATTCATTAGTGCCTCATGACTGAAATCTTCACAGATCTTTCGAAAAATGTTGATCACTAATGACTAATGAGACTTAATCACACATCATAGCACACCACAGTGTTCAGATATTTTGCAAGATACTGATTCATGTCTTGTACACACTCAAGTATAAGTACAAGTATAAATCTCTGTCAATACTGATTCTAATCATCCAAAAACACTTATTCTTTTTGGACAGCAGATGGATTTTCATAATTAAGTTCCACTAAAATTGATGGTTCTGTGTGCGAGAATATTAGTATAGTGGATGGATTGTCCATATAATAAACTAGTCACTGATAATGACATACTAGTAGATATATGTATGTGTGATTGGTGCAAGCATGTCGAATATATGGTTTCGGAACGGCATGCTTTGAAACAAAATGGCCAAAAATAGAATGGCGTGCATTACAGAATCTGACAATGCACTACTGAGATCGAAATGGTGCAATTGGGGCAATTTTTGAACATTATGTACCTTAACATGATGACAGTTGGCCATCTTGAAATGGTTCATGGAACAAATGCATGTGTAAATGTCCGATACAACTTCTGATGTACATGTGTATGTGTGAAGTTTGAACTTGATCAGACCAGGCATGTCGGATGTATGAATCCAGAACTACATTATTGGAAACAAAATGGATGCCAGTGAAGTCTGATTTTGACCAATCCAAGCATGTGTGTGATATGGATGGCCACACAGACACTTCATTCAAATAGAGACTAATAGGGCCAGATGTACTTACAGTTTACAGAAATACTGAAGTTAGTGCATACATACATGTACCTTGCAACTAATAGTGTATGATCTCTATCATACCAAGAAATAATCAAAATAATTGACATTGATGACATCATAGAACCTTTGGATTAATAGGTTGGATTATAGGATTATAAAGCTCTTTAAAACTGTGGTCTAAAGAATTTGACATTTAGGGTCAGTAAGGGTATTTTAGCTTAGGTTTACTATATGATGATAATACTATAGGATGATAATACATATCTGAAACAGATACTGTTTGTGGTAAGGATAATTTACCTTGGGTTTACTATCGGAAGACGACATATATCCAATACACATACTATCAGTAGTATGGGCAGATATCAACTCTGCTTTATTGTGTTCATACCTCAATACTAAGGCACCACCATGTTTTCTGTGTACATTGGTGAGAAAGGGAGAATCTGGAAGAAAATATCAAACTGATGGAATGTGACGTATGGTAATGCATTTGATGGCATTGAGTTTTATATGTTAATGCAGGTGACACAAAATTGTATCTATTTTTTGAAACATTGAATCTACATGTATAGATATACCTCACAAACAGCAAGCTTTGAATCATGTATCAGTATGTAAATGTCAACAAATCTATTAATTTGACTGATGTACTTTCTATAACAATCCTTTAACCAATAATTTTCATTTTATAACATATCCATCTGAACTTGAAATCAAAGAAAGCACAAAATCAAATTCTTCTTTCTCATATTTTAATGTCCTCTTTGAATTTGACTGTAAAGTAACATTTCTAGTATAACTGTATAAGAGAGATGACTTTGATTTACGATCATCAATTTTCCTTATATTTGTAGTAATCTCCTTTTCCTTTGTAGTAGTATCTCTTTCTCTTGCATATGGTGCATATATTTCTCATAATGACGTTCAAGTGTTTTTATGGCAGTTATCATAAAATGATGTCAAAATACAAGAAATTACCTCGGCAGATGATCTCCATTTGTTTCAACATCATTCGTTCTATGTAGAAGGCCCCCTCATGAATTGACTACTTGATAGATCTATGGTACATGCTTTCAATAGGGCAGGATATGCTCACTTTTTGAACTTGAGATCACTCTTGACCTTGAGTTCCATATATCATTTATTTTGAATATTAATTTTGTGAATGCTTTAAGACTGTCATTCCACATCTCATGTATCACATCTGTACTACTCTAAACTTTACAAATCAATGTAATAGGAAATAATCAGACATGACTTGCCTAGAAAATCACACTGAAACACTTTCCTGATGGCTTGATCTAAACATTCACTACCCAGTGCTGATTCAACACATTTTCTTGCCAGCATTGTCTTCAATAGGTGTTCTCCACAACCTTCAACAATTATATACAATATATATAAAACAGAACAAATTGTCATAATTGAAATATAATAATTATTGTTATTTCGTTTTCTTCAAATGTGTATATTAACCATGAACCATAATAAACTTACATCATCACACTGTGCAAAAAAATGCAATCACATTTTTGACTGGACTAAAATTTGGTTGTGTTGTAACTTAAACATTAAATGACTGCCCTTATTTAGCTAACAGCACATGATGTTTAGGGATTGTGGCACTCAGTGAGAACTCACCTGTTGTACTTGAAGCCACTGATGTAGTTGATAACTTCATTGCCCAGCAACCACATCCATACACTGCTGCCTATAATAATATTCATATATTTTTTATCAGTGACAATTATATTATGTCTTTGTATGACTCATAATTGGCAAGATTATCCGATTTGTACTAAAGATAAATATTCAGTTTGATCAGTATCCACATCCTTGCTTGTGATGCATGTAATAGCACATTATGTTAGAAGAAAACAATTACCAATTACATTTATCTAAAAGATCGTTCTGGATGATGTTTTGGATGTTGCATCATATTTTGGGAGATTACCAAAATAAAAGTACTTTTTTCTCATTTCTACGTCTGGTGTCATCACAGACTGGCTTTCTCATACAGTACCGTTAAAATCGTATTACTAATGTACACTAACCAGTGTATCAAAAC